ATTTGTCTGACAATTTCAGCTTTTGTCCTTACTGACAGAAGTTCCTGAATTACCTCATCCCTCCAGCTGGACATTTTCACTGCCATGTTCGTGTAAATGACCAGTCATCTTCACTGTTGCATGTTTGTTTTCTTCCAGTTTTGGTCATGCTGCGTGATAGAAATGTCATCAACATGCCCACTTGCTCGTGATGAATTCTCCAGACTATTACCTGCTCTTCTCACACATGGGCTCAGTTGGACATTACACGGACTTTGTACCAGAGATCTGGCAGGGTTAAGTCTGTTTAATGTCCGCTCCAATGGATTTGGACATTTGCGTTCTCACACGCAGCTTCTCTGGGTAACGTCTAGGTAATTTAAGGTTTGTAGCGCATGTGTAAAGGTGACATATAAGAATATGTTGACAATTGATTGGCTGAATTAATGTTCACTGTAGCCTATTCAAGCAGATCTTGGATACACATGAAGACTCTTAGAAAGACAAGAGTTTAAACGCACTCTCCTGATGAGTCAGTCAGGCCCATGGCGGATAATGAACAGGCGGGATTAGAAAAAGCATAGTGGAATCAGCAGTCAAGCAGAATTTGAGCAGCAAATGAAGATGTGTTCCTCTGTGGCATTTAGAGGAGCCTTTTAAGTCCGGCCATGTTGACTTGATGTGACGTATTTGGCAAAAAAAAAAAAAAATGCATTTGGCATTCAGCCCGCAAATGGATGAATATTGCAACAGAGACCAGAGAGACACTTTCATTGTAGGGGACCTGAGATTGAGATTGAGTGGGCATTGCTATGACAGTTTGTTTGTGAGGACTAATCTTCCTGACAGTCAACATACATACACAGACACAACAGTGGGCTATGAAAAGGTGCTACCACTGCTACAGCACTGCTCTGTCACTCTTCTCTCTTCACAGGGTTTTGCATAAAAAAAGTACTCTGTTGCTGCAGGCAACAATTCCAACGGCAAAACGAAATGAGGACTTGTCTAACCGTTGAGCATGTTTGAATGACTGGAGAAAGCATTGCGGAGATATGGCCCACTTCCTGTTTATGTCTTCACTGCCAACTTTGTCACAGTCAGATGGACAGCAATGCATGTAGTAAATGCTCCTGACAGAGCTGTACAAATGTTGAAACTTTTCACTCTATATATAAGAAAGTGATACGCCGATTCACCTCTTACAATGTGACTCATGAGCCAGTCAGCTAATGCGTGCATATTCAACTGGACGCTTATAGGGCTTTAAACCAGTGGTTACTAATTCATGCTTGTTAGCCCTACACTGTATGTGGGCTTTTGATGAAATAGGACGATGATCATATATGATTTAAGATATGTATCAGACTTATAAACCCAGAAACATCTTCTGACAGGAGTCAGCCTCACCTAGTCGAGACTAGAAAGTGGAACATGAAAACCTCTGGGAGAGTTAAAGACACTTTCTTGCGCATGCAGTAAAGACTGGGTCAGTTGCCATGTAGAGATATGGCTCACTTCCAGTTTCTCCGTCTTGGCTGCCAAGTTCACTTGCATGTAAGGAGCAAACACTTGGGAGTGTCAATATCCTGTTAGCATCTAAAGTAAGCTTCATATTGCATATTTAACGATGCACAAAACATGAGATACTAATGGTGTTTTTGGGTGACTCTACAGTTTGCTGAGCTGACCTCAAGGGTTTCTGTGACAGGTCTCTATTGATATGCCAGTTTGGGGTTATCTGGGCTGCCAGACTGTAGACAGAAAAGACAGACAAAAAGAAAGAGGAGGAAATAAATCAAGAAATTAGAGAAGTGCACTCTGGGGGGTGCAGCTCTCCGCCAGGCGGCCATCCGAGCTGATTTGTCCACCCTAGACAATTCTTGTCATTCCAGCAGACATGCCGCAGCGCATTTAAGAAGCATCCCAGAAGCTAATAAAAATACACACCTCATCTAATTTTGATGGAGCCTGCAGTGCATGGCACAAAGCAGATTGGTTTCTCCTGCCACACAGCCACAAATCTTTGATCCATGTAGCCTATTTAACTTCGTCTGTAGGCTACAGCACAACTAAATCCGACAAAAAAAGAAACTTTTGAACCAAACTTACTTACTTAGGGTAGAAATACAAATATCAGGAAATAATGACCAAATCAACAGAATCTGCAAGTCTACAAAATCGAGCAGACAAAACGTTCCATGCAACCAGTGTGGTATGAGGCTGAGTGGTGGACGGAACAGACTGCAAAGAGCTGCAGCAGCTGAAATTGCCCCTTTTGGCTCCCTTATAGTTCAGATGACAGCCAAGATAGCAAAGGCTGTGTATGTAGTGACTTTGTGCCTGACTTTATTGGATCATAATAACACAGTGGGTATGGAATTTATCTGCAGATGCTCCACCTCAAAATACGACCAAACTTTCCTGCGTTTTATTTATAGGTGCCTTTCAAAGCACTCAAGGACGCCTTACAGGACACAGTTAAAAAACAAACAATAAAAAAACAGCAGCAATGTATCCATAGATCATAAAGTCAAACATTTAGTAATATAAAATAATAAGTTAATAAAATAACTAGATAAAATCAGAACAAAAATCAGATATAAAATCATCATCATAACTCAACTCAACTTTATTTATAGAGCACTTTAAAAACAACAGCCGAAACAAAGTGCTGTACATATACATAAAAACATAAGACATAAAACAAACAATTAAAAACAATAAAATAAAGCAAAACAATAAAAACACTAAAAGAAGAGCAGAGTCCCATGCTGAGTTGAAAGCCAAGGAATAAAAATGGGTTTTAAGACGAGTTTTAAAAATGGACAGTGAGGGGGCTTGACTGATGCGCAAAGGTAGATTGCTCCAAAATTTGAGAGCAGCAACAGAAAAAGCTCTATCCCCCTCTGAGCTTCTGCTTGGACCTCGGTACCTCCAGGAGCAGCTGATCAGCTGACCTGAGGCGCAGAGCAGGAGCATAGGGATGGAGCAGCTCAGAGAGGTAAGGTGGGGCAAGACCATTTAAAGATTTAAAAACAAATAAAAGAATCTTAAAATGAACTCTAAAGTGCACAGGCAGCCAGTGGAGGGAGGCCAGAATGGGAGTTACGTGCTCCAGTTAAGAGATGAGCCGCAGCGTAAAGTCATCAACAGTGCAAGTATAAACATGTGTGACACCATTAAATCAAACTTTTCTATGGATGTCAGTTTTTGAGCTACGACGAATGCCAAAATATGGCCTGCAACACATTTTAAGGCTTGTTGGTTTTAGCCGAGCCAATTTCTTAAAAACTTGTGGCCCCAACTGACCGGTTAAAATGATTGAGGAGTCAGCAGTTCATGATGGTATATATACAACACTCAGTAAAACAGGTTTTTCAACAATTGTGAGTCACTGCAACCACAAGATGTCCTTGAGCATACATGTGCACAGAAAATATTAGGCTGATTGGTCCAGTAGTTTGCAAGATTAGCTGCGGACAGACAGATATACACACACACAGACACATACTCACACATAGACAAACAAACGTGTAATACCTTCCAGGCTTACACCTGTCAGAGATAATAAAGACAACAAAAACATCTTTAGTAAGGATACCAGGCATATGACATGTGGGAGCCAAAAGGCGAATAGAAATACAAAACAACATCTTAAAAATAAAGATATATATATTTACTTGATATTGCATTTAAATACATCCAGAAGCAGTATGTCAAAGATAGCTTGATTGGGCTGGTTAGTAATTACCACTCACTCAGCACTGAGGTTTATCCTGTGACCTGGACGAGTCTTTATACAGAAGACATTCAAATGTAAAATTCAAAAGAATTACAGTGATACAATTTCTACAAAACAATAGTGATAACTTATGATGATCTTTAGTCAGTCCCTTTCAAACAAATGTTTTGTACTACACACTCTCACACTTTCCCTCTCCCAACCCCCCTCTGCACACACACACACACACACACACACACACACAAACACATCCTTCCCATCTGGCTGGCAGGACAGATGGTGGCACTGGGTGATGCTAGAGGCCAAAAGGACAGCTCTAACCGGCTACACACACACACACACACACACACATACATACACACACACACTTAAACGCACACACACGCACGCACACAACTGTGTGATATACGTACCTGTCGTAGTTTACAAATGTACGCACAAATGTTTAATATGGGGCAAGAGACGCATCTGCGCGTACAGTAGACAAACACACACAGTGAAACACACTCTTTCTGTTAGTCACGCAGTGGGTTTGATATGCCATTTATTTGTTCAATGATTCGGTTGCATGTCAAACAGAATTTCCATTTCAAATGAGGCCGCTCTTTACCCTGCATGTGCACCGTGTCAGTGTGTGCAGAGTGCATGTGTGCAGATGAACATGCACAGCCTATATTCTCTGTTCAATCTTTCATTGATTTGCAGCTGTTGTGTCACACTGAAGAAAAACTGCCTTTATTATCAATGCCGTCGGTGTGTGTGTGTGTGTGTGTGTGTGTGTGTGTTCTGTGACTCTTGCTCAGGTATGCATGCATAATAAAAAACCTTGCTGTATGTTTTTCAGCAGCATGTAGTTGGTTTGTCAGCCAGATGTACAGATGAGGAAAACTGAGAGTGTGTGTGTATGTGTGTGTATTTTCCACATATGCATGCATAAGAGAAAATATGAATGTATTGTGTGTGTATTATTCATGTGGCATGGTTATGAATGGTGTTCACATGTCCTGAGAGCTTTCCTCTGCCAGAGCCCGGCCACTCTGTTCTCGAAGCTTCTCTTAGCGAGGTAGGGGTGAAAAAAGCAAGAAGGGAGAGCGAGTGCGAGTGAGGTGGGGAGGTGGTGATGAAATATGGGGGAGCAGAGACAGAGGGTGGGGTGATGAAGGAGGAGGAGGAGGAGGAGGAGAGGAGATGGAAGGAGAAAGTGGGAAACAGAGGCAGAGGCGGAGAAGGACAAATATAGAGAGCGGAGGGGGGTGGAGGGAGAGAGGAAGGGAAATGAGGGAAACAGACAGGGAGAGGAGGAGGAGGAGGAGGGAAGAGGGATGCTGCATTTTAGTGATAGCACAGACTGAGACTGCAGGAGCATACAGAGGGATGGAGAGAATCGATGAGAGAGGTAGAGGAGCATTGTCAGAGAGAGCACGACAGGATTTCCACACAGGTAACATATCAGATAGCTGGAAATCTAATACTGAAACGCAGAATTTTGACGAAGAGTTTTGGCTAATTAGAGACTTGGAGAGGCCCTTTTCTTCCATGACAGCTGCATCAAATATTTCCTGGATGTCATAGAAGAGCACTCAACCTGTCAAAGCATCCATCCATCCCTCCATCCATCCATAAATAGATGCACATGTCCATTTTTCTCCCCCCATCCTGTCCTCCATCTTCCAAGCTCCTCCTCTCGCTTCACTCCATATCCATCTTACAATCATCTCTCCATTCCACCCACACACAAGCTTTTCTCCACACCACCCCCTATCTTCTTCATCCTCCTCCTCCCTCTCCCTCCATATCTCCTCTGCTGTCACTTCTACAGATCCTGAGGGCATCTCTTTTTTTTCTATTCATCTCCACATATCCTTCTTTTGCCGTCCCTCTGTGTCCCTCTCAGAGAATCTCTCTGCTGCGGCTGTGTGTGTATTCAGGCAACATTTATCCCTAGCTTTAAAATGTATTTCTTTTCCAGATTGTGACAAACGTGTACCTGAGGGAGCAGCAGAGAAGGGGAAAGAGAGGGGGAAAAACTTGCATCTCTGACCTCAGCAAGTGAAAAGACACTTCTCCTGCACAGGGAGGAGAGAGGAAACCACGTGTAATCAAACTCAGAGACTATCAGCAGGTGTGGGAACACAGGGAGATACACTCAAGCATTTAAAGGTAGACTCCTGCCTCTGTTGCGGAAAGTGTGTCACTCACTTTCATGTTCGTCTCTATGCTTGACTGTCTGTCCACAGGCTGTCCTCCCATCTGTCTTAACAGGATGCAGAGGTGTCATTTCAGTGCCCGGGACAAAGAGAAAAGCTGAACGGATCCTGACGTGTTGTTAGAGAGAGAAGTCAAAAAAAAAAAAAAGAAAGAGAAAACTGAGGAACAGTTGCAAGCCTCTGGAAGGAAAAGGGAGGAGAGAGCAGTATGAGTCAGAGCACAGCAGCTAGAATACTGTGTATTCTGCATGCAAGAGGAGAGGTGGAGGGAGATGGAGGAACAATGAGGGAGATATAGGGGGAGGAAAAAACAGAGGACTTGACCAGAATTGAGCAGTCATTAGACAGAAGAAGGACAAGATGAGAAAGAATCAGCCACACTGGCAGGCAAGTGAGTGAGATATAGGCCAAGTGAATCAGCCTGCTGGAGGGAGAGGAAGGCGAGAAGAGGGTGAGTTTAGAAAGTGGGAGGTTTGATATGACTGACGAGGGTTAAGGGAAGGTTGAATGAAGGTTTTGCTGCAGGGTGGACAGTGAACAATAAACGGCAAAGGACAGAAGGGCAGACTTAATGAAAAACTATGTGAGCAGCTCCAGGGGAGAAAGTCCTCAGTGACTGTGTCTTGCTACAGGGAGGGAACATTACTGAGGTCTGCATATGGCAGGACGAGCTTCCAGAAGATTGACCATTAAGAACGAAAGAAACAATGGAGAGTAGAGGGTTTAAAAAAGAGCACAAAAACATATAGGGACAGTGAACATGGCAAGATAAGAGCAAAATTTCACATCCAAGCCGAGAGCTAAAAAGGAACACACTGCAGACCAGAGGAACATGTCATCCAACGCACAACGTCGGGGACGTGGAAACTTTAACTGTGACAGCAACACAGCAAGAGGTTCCTGTTAAATATTGATGCTGACAGGCCACTCTGGAAAGAGCTCGCTGCTTGTACCACAGAGGGGGAAACAGAAGGAAGAAACACAGCTGCTTTTTTATTCTGAGGGATTTTTAAACTGGAATAGACAAGCTGTTAAGTATGTCAGATGACAGCCGAGTGGGGTTAAGTTCAAATGTTGCTACAAATTAAGACAAGACGTATAAATTAGCAGACAGTTGGCTTCCTGGAGGTTCTTTGGTTTTTTGTTTTTCTGGCCAGCTGTGCAAGTTCTTGGGGAGAGTGGAGTAACTACAGAGAGAAGAGCAGGACCTTATTCTTGTGTGAGACGACAAGGAAGACGGAAGTGAACATCTGAGAGTTCACTGACACCTCAGCTGGACTGGAACAATTTCTTCTTTTCTATGAGATCAAGGACCAGCCCTGGCTCATGAATACAGATTCATATTTTGGACTGACATGTTATACCTGCTTTGACAGGTACTCCTGGGGTGCATCAATGCCAGATGAGAGGAGCCAAACACTGGTGAAGCACTCATGAATGTTGTCTATTTTTATTTTGTCCTGGACTGATTGGAACTGCTCCAGCTATCTTGAAAAAAATGGCCTCATTACAGAGATTTGGCCAGTGGAGGATTGCTGTCATGGCTTGAGGAAATATAAGTGTGGAGATACTTTGATGTGCGTAAACACGCAGGATCCTTTAATTTGAAGGGGGATGTATACTTTGATTTTGTCTCCATGACTACATGAAGGCTACTCTCCAACTTAATGTCACCAAGACATTACGATAGAGACATCCTTCACACCGACCTGAATCACAGATTCCTCAAAACATCCCGACAGTAACACGGGAAGACATAACGCCACAGTCTCTATCCAGTTGCGGACAGACCAGCTGCGTGTTCATGTGTGTGTGTGGCTGCATGGGGGCATAAGGACTGTCGAGGAGCTCAGCTGTGTTTGTGCGTATGCTTGTGTGGGTGTGGGTATAGAGGTGTGAGTGTGAGCCCAGCTGTGTCTGAGTACATTTTCAAAGCATCGCCTGGAGCTGTGTGAGCGTGTGTTTGCCTGTGTGTTTGTGTGTGTGTGTGCGTGTGTGTGTGTCGCCTGGATTCCCCCCACCAGCGACAGAGCTGGACCTGAACAGCAGTGGTGAGAGGGGGGACAGGGAGGGGGAGGAGGAGGAGGAGAGAAGGGAGGTGAAAGAAACCAGCAGGACGGAGGAGAAGAAAAAACTGACAACATGCTCGGATAAAGAGAAGAAAGACAGGAGTTTTTGGCTGCCCCCCTGGTGCAATGTGTGGTGAGTACACATTTCTAAATGTGTGGTACGCCATCGTGGCTGCCATGTGTGTCAGGGTCTGTGCATATGTGTGAGTGCATGTACAGTACACTGTGTATCCACCAATGAGCATCACATTCCCTCAGGAGGTTGGCCAAGGTCAAAGGTGAAAGGTCAATTAGAGAACTCAGAGTTCAGAAGTACAAATATAAATCAGTTATAAGATGCAGGTCATGTGATCAGAGAGCAGATGATATGTAGGTCCAGTGGCTCACGTTGTGTTTCCATCCACTGATTTACACATGATACAGTGCCCAGTGGGTCACATGACATCCAGTCTGGCACCTGAATGGAAACTGAACCAACTCCATAAACCACGACATGTTTAACCAAACAGGTTTAATGGCAGCGGATGTTTCATCAACATAAACACTCATTTCTTATAGTGATATGTAGCCTGTTCTCACTCCCAGGTTGAAACATATGGACACTTCGTGACGCCCCTCAGCGTGATACCAACACTGCAGGCACTGTTTGGCGTCTCTATGAGAAGCACCAGGCTTTCAGCTAACTCCAATGTAAACCCATTTGTGGCAATATTTGACACTACAAACTGATGAAGTATAAAGAGTCTGAATGTCTGTGTAGAGTTGGAGGGAGGGGTGTTGGATAGCTCAAACAAACATGGACTTTCACCCAGGAGACCTCTGTCATGTGTGTGTGCGTGAAACCAAAAGTCAATGCTATTTCAATGTCATGTCATGTAACTTACACCCATCCATCACGTACTTAAATATCACGTTACATACTTATTTTAACCCAAAACATGATGTTTTTCCAAACCTTAACAGTACTATTATTGGGTGCATCTCATAAAGACGCCAAAGGGTGCCTATGGCATTGATTTCACACTCTGATGGGCGTGAGAAAACATTGGTATTTGAAGACCTGGGATGAGAATGTGCTGTAGTATCTCTCAGTGTCTGTTCCCATGTACAGGCACAGCTCTTGATAAATTCTCATGAATTAACTTTTTGTAGCCATGCCCCAACATTTAATTATATGATATGTGTAATACCAGCTACCTTTGGGGATTTAAATACCGGAAAACATGTTGCTGTATATAGCTTGTTAACCTATGGCTAATTAAAGGAGCTGTACCCGACATTCAGAGCATGTCTACCATTCTGGAGGTGGCTGAGCTGGCAGCATGAAAGTGCTATCAACAGTGCTGACAGAGCTAACATTCTTACCTGAGGGATACTGAAGGGTGGATGCAACGACTCCGTCCTGATATCAGTGATTACTGCTGTATGACTGATGTTCAGAGTGGCAGAGATTAGCTGGAACATACTCACAGGGAGTCCGATGCACTAACATGCAAGTGCTGCTGGACGGTCTACCATAACAAAGAACAGAGAAGCTCAGATTACAGCACACACAGAAGTAGAGTTATTCATTCTCTGATCAGGATGCCATTTCTCCACTATATCACTATAAAGTAAATAGTGATTTGTAGCTGTATTAATAGTCTGAATGTCACATACAGCTCCTTAAATATTTGTGGATCACTAACTTTCTCCCGTCCACTGTCAGGGGGTCTCAAACAGTGCAAATGACCCCAGCAAAGGCCCAGAGGGGGCCATGCAAAAGGTCTATGGTTGACCCTTAAATGGGATAGAGTAGCAGCAGTTTACTGACTGACGTATATCACGGACAGTAAGTTATATGTATTTACATGATAACTACATATAGTATTATTATTATGATATATATATATTATAATAGTGTGGTATGGTTTTGACGGCACCATTGCTCCAAAGTTAGGCTAAAGTTGGAAATGTCAGTTTTCTATCGTCAAAATTTAGCCTAATTTGAAGCATTATTTAGCCACTTCCCAACAAGATATCATTACATGGTTGGTGTCAATGAATGCCTTTGGTTGTGTAGTTTCACTTGATACCAGCATCACTATAGATATAAAACTGTGCCTTTTTTTTTTTCTTCTTTCTTAAAATGGCATATTTTAATATTTCTGCATACTAGAGTCCCTAAACAGTCTTGGAATTGCAAAAAATACTGGTTATAAACACTGGATTTGGATATTGTGATAGCTAAAGAGTAAATGTGTATCCTCTACCGATGATGATTTGATCTTGTCCTTCAATGCTTTGCAGTCATTTCTTTAATCAGCTTTTGATGCTACTTTTATACCGTCATTTACTGGAAGGCAATTTATCCCTCTTTGTTTTGTTCTAAGGTAAAATGAGATATAACTATCAGAGTTGTGTTTGAAAGAAACATTTTCAATGTGCTTTTAAATAACTCAGTTGACCTTGGTGGTTTGAAATCATATTGAATATATGCATGTGAAACAGAGCGTGGCCTGGATGGTTGGAAATAGTTGAAAAAAAGAATCTCTGTCGCTAGGCTAATGGTTAAAACCTTATTTGAAATTGCTCATGTTGGTATTGGAGCTTGGTGGTGGTGGACTGGGCATAAATGAGGACTTTGTCACCCTGGCCATAATTCCTAATGGCTGGCCTGTTCTCCCAGCATCAGAAACTAGAAAATGATTTCATGAGAAGTGATTTCTGAGGCAGGAATCAGAGATGAGATGATGTATTGGTGTCCTGTCTTGTTAGTACACTCATTACTGCCTCTGGACGACAGGGAGGAAGGCTAATACTTGTTGTGATACTAGTGTCAAGCAAAATGTGCTCTGTGCTTGTGGTAGTGTGAGAAATGTACTTGATATCATAGCAGCAAATGCATCACATTCTGCAGGCCAGCGACATGACTATGTTGTTGTTTTGCCAAAGTTTTACAGCTGAGAACATCTCAAAGCTGAGAACATCTCAAAGCTGGATCGATCTAGTTTATTGAGCACATATTTTAAAAAGTATTTAGTGTCTAAGATTTAACTTGCATTACTCTGATTATCTTATTGAAAGCATTTATTTTTACAATTAGCGAGCTACAGCTCAGCAAACAGACACAAACAGTCATGCTTTCTCCGTCACACCGAAGCACTATCACTCTTCTCGTGCTGTCATGAATACAGCTCATATATGGAGTCACACTATCTTACAGTAAGTACACTCATCTTCTCTTGCCCCCTGTAATTCTCCGTCACACACAAGCACACACCATAACAGCACACATGCACAAATGCGGAGGAAGCGGGGCCGTGGCTGAGGAGAAGTGACAGTCGCTTCATGGCCGCTGGCTTCATATTCTGGCAGTGCTGGCCAGCCAAGCTCGTAATGAGGCCGTGGAACGCTCTAGTGTCATACGGATCTGGTTCCCACACCATCACTCTGTGCATCAGCTCAGTGTGTGTGTGTGTNGGGGGGGGGGGGGGGGGGGGGGGGGGGGGGGGGGGGGGGGGGGGGGGGGATGGATGTGTGTGTGAGAGAGAGAAAGAGAGGGAGAGAGAGAGAGACTTCGTGAATGTATGTAAAGCATTTACATTGTAACATGCAGGTTTCATTTCAGCTGTCTCATATATCTTTTGGCAACAAACAGCTGGTCTTTGCAGCTCAGCTGTAGCCCAAACAAGCTGTGTGTCATTGATCAGAACAGTGTCTGTATTGTAGCAAACACAAAAGCTGTAAGATTATTGATTAAGACTTTCGGTGGAATGAATCACACTACCAGTCAATGACTCAACTCAATACCTGCAATTCCTCCTTTTGCTGATCACTACTGGATGTAGAGCTGATAGACAAGGTAGACTGCACCACATAGAACTCCATTTGTTTATATTGCATTTGACATTGCTAGTATTTTACCTTGCTTACCAAAAGTCAAATACCTTGGAGGGTTCAGGGTTTCAAAGGTCAGATTTCCTCATCATGAGATGTTGATTTCAAGGTTATAATAATGGATGGTTTCTGGTTTGAATCCAGGGTGGGGAGCCCTTCTGTGTGGAGTTTGCATGTTATCCGTGTCAGCGTGGGTTTCCTCCAGGTACTCCGTCTTCCTCCCACAGTCCAAAGACGTGCAGGTTAGGTCGATTGGTGACTCTAAATTCTCATGGGTGTGAATGGTTTTCTGTCTCTATGTGTCAGCCCTAGTTCGGGAGGTACCTCACTGGGATAGGCTCAAGCCCCAGACACCAGGGGCTTTAAAGGAATACTCATTTGTAAATCAGTTAGTCATGCCATGTTACCTTGGATTCGTGAAAGAAACTTTGTTTTTTCACATCTCCATGGAAAACAATGAATATATTGATTTATTGATTGCTTAGGGACCTAACAACACCATTATCTGTTTACAAACTCTCACACAACCTGTGCAGAATAATAAAAGACTCATTTATACAGTTGTACACTCAGTACTTCCCAGACACATGTATTTTCGCTAAAACCTTAGTATTGGAATCTGACTTTGAAGAGAGCATAGATAAGTTTCACGTTCAGGTCAGTTTTAAATAGGTTTTAGCAAAAATGCATGTGTTTGGAGGTACTGAGCCTATAACTGGATAAATGAAACATGAATTATACTAAAACACTTTCATGTAGTGGTGGTTACGGCAAACCAGTCATTCTCCCATACTGGACATTTGGGCTACAGTGTCTCGAACTGTCAAAATAGACTAGTCTTGTCATGTGTCCTGTCTTGTTTTACTTTCTTCCTTTGTGTCATTTCCCACCTTTGTGATTGTCTGTCCCGCTCTGATTGGTTTCACCTGTCCCTCAGCCTTGCTGTCACCTGTCCCT